GAGAAACAAAATAAAAATAAACGAACATATTGCTAAAAGACTTAACCCTTTATAGTGGGAATAGATCTTAAAATCCATCACTAGGGTCTTTCCACCTTATCATCACTTACACATAGGTGTAAGATTTTAATTAATTAAAATATAGCTTTGTGAGGGATAGCTCATTGTTTGTATTTCATTGGCTAATCTATAAAGCCATTGACATTAATCTAAAACATTGAGCATCTTTTCATGAATTAAGACATGACAAAATGATTGGACTAAGGCAAAAAGTAGCAACTTTTTGGAATGCTTAAAAAGTCTATGTGGGACTACAAATTATTCATTAAAAAAAAAAAAGTGGAGTTTATTTGAATGAGATAATTATAGTTCAATATTTTGAATGATCTGATATACAAACAGTCACAAATAAATACTTTTTTGTATATTTAAGTACAAATAAGTATGATTAGTGTAAAAGTTTTATATATTTTTGAACTTAGCATTCGTAATTAAAACAAAACAAAAAGTTTTCAATTAATTTTTCTATTAATTAGTTAAGTACTTCCAATTAGAGTCTACTAAAAAAAAGAATCTTTCTTGGTTTCATGGAATAGGGTATTTTAGATAACAAATCACTTTCAATCCTACCTATGTCACGCTCAAATTATGACACTCAACAAACTTATAATTTTCATCCCCAATAATGAAACAAAATATCTTTATTTTTATTTTGTTTTTTCTTTGTTTTGCTTTACGACAATAATAAATAACCAATATTATTTAGTGGGTTTCATGTGACATTTTCATGTATCTAATTTAGCTTTTTTAATCTTGTTATAATATGAATGTCCATAGCACTAGTTTCGTATCTCGTTTTTCTTTTTTTTTTGCAATATTTTATCTGATTTTCCACTAAATGAAAAATCTTCTAAGTAAAATGAAAGAGAAAAAATAATTTGATGTATAAAATAGCTCGTATTCATATAAGATTCTGAAAAATGTCATATCTCAAAATTTTGAATAAGAAATATTAGCATGAGCATTGCTTTCTCTTTTCCCTTGTCCTATACCTTTCATAAGGTTTTGCTTGGGAATATGCAAGTCCAAATCAAGATAAAGAAAAGGAAAAGGATTGATGAAATCGAACCTTAGTCCTTTAAATTATAATATAACCGTTTTGTAAGTGAAACTTTAGTTTAATTTAGGTAGAATTCATAGGAGTAACTTTCGTATATAGCAAATATAAAAATTATATTTGTATGTTATAGTTATAGTTTGCATAATTACGCTCTATAGTAAATATAAATATATATAAATCATTTTATATATATATATATGTATACACACAAAGAAAGTCGTATAAATCGATACACATATACAAAAAAGCAGTTGTATAATCTATTTCAACATACATACACAAAAGATTAATTGTATAATTTGTGTTTGTATAAAGCGAGAGAGAGAAAGACAAACGAAAACTAGGCTGGGGAAGACTGTATATGTATATTCACAAGTGTATATGACTAAAATATATGTATTTGTATTTGTACATACAATTTTCTCTCGCTTTATACAAACACATACTCAATGTACACAGTTGTGTTTTTATAAAGTGAGAGAGGCAAGTAAAAGGAGTTAATACCTCAGATGGTCACTCAACTATGCATTCTTTTCTCAGAAAGTCACTCAACTTTCAATTTTCACTCAAAAGTCACTCAACTATGCACTTCTTTCTCAGAAAGTCACTCAACTTTGAATATTAACTCAAAAGTCACTCAACTATCCACTCTTTCCTCAGAAAGTCACTCAATCTATTAAATTGTTTTTTTTAACTAAAATTTGTTGATATTAATTATTTATATAACAAATCAAAAAATTTTAAAACTTTTATACGTAATTATATTTTATATCAAAGTTAATTGATTAATATCTATTACTTAAATATTCAAAACTTTTATACGTAATTATATTTTATATCAAAATAATCGATTCAGATAAACATCCTTTGAACTGTGTTCACTCCATTATTCATTGTTAATGCAGAAAATAAGTAGATGGTCCCCTGACACTTCAAAAACTACTTTATTCCACCGATGATTAGTCTTGTCGTAATGACATTGATCGATTATTTAAATTTAATAAATATATTATACTATTAACAACTTTAATTAATCATATAAAAATTCTAACCAATGATTTTAATCAGAGAATTAATAGAAAAATATTGTTGATTCCAAATTAGAAATGGTTAGGTTAGATACCAGAACATGTTTCTTATTTTTAGATTTATTTCCTGCCGAAAGGATACGATTCACTGTCTTTTGTGTTAAAGTTGGCAAACATCCAATATGCACTAAGATTGATAAAAATTTAATCGATATTCGATGTTTACTTTAAAATTAATAAATTATTTATATATATATTAATTATGATTTAAGTTTAGTTAGTTATATAGTAATGGGCTCCTATTTCATTAAATTATTTGACATGATAAATTGATAGAATATGATATAGAACATTCAATGTGTGTATATTTAAAGAAATAATCTTTTTTTATTTGACCAGAGTAAAAAAATAAATAAAGGATAATGTATCTTATGATTTCAAGAAAATAATATACAATAGGAAAATAAATTTCTTAAATTGTATTTCAAACTTTGTCTCCTCGTTACACCTCAATGCTCCCACCTCTACCTTTGGTAAATCTTAAAATTTAAAAGTTAAATGAATTTTTACTGATGATTTCGAATAGCACTATTGAACTCTCATGAACTCAACGTAGCACTATGCATCTTGCACTCCATCGCACATAAAATTTATCTATATTACATATAAATTCTCGCAAAATAATAACTTACAAAAGAACTTTTTCAAAAAAAAAAAAAGAAGAAGAAATATTAGTACCAAAGACACAGGGAAGAAAATTGGGCAAAATGTCATCGTCCGATCCAGTGCAATAATTCTGTTTTGAATTAAGAATATCAAATTGTATTTTTTGATAATAAATTAATTTATGTCAAATAATTGTGAAGTAAAACTGGATCTTTTCAATTGTTGATATTTTAATTACAGAACAAAACTGAAAACTTTTTGAACCGATAATAACATAATTTGACAATTACATGTTCATCGGTTGGTTCGTTACTATTTCAAAATTTTTGGATTTTATATTCTTGGAATTTTTTCTTTTTAAAAAGTAAATTCCAGATATTTTAATTTTTTTTTTTCATTTCAATTTCCTTTATATTTTTTTTCTTTTAGGCCATGTTCCAAAAATTATTGTTGAACTCGAAATTGAAAAAAAATGATAACAAGATATCAAAAAGAAATTGAGGAATATAATCATTCTTGTCTTATTATTTCACACCAAAATATGCTTGAGAATAATGTTTTGATAGAAAGAACTTCCATTCATTTTCTTTTCCTTGATTTACTTTCATTTTATAAAATTGGAATCAAGAATAAAATACAACAATTTAAAATCATGATAATTCAGCGCTATTTGTGAATAATTTGTTAATTTGTTGATATGTTGAATATAGCATGAAGTCAATCAGTCATATATATTTGATATTAACCAGCTGCATGTTACATTTCTAACTAAATATTAGTATTTTTGATTCGTTATTTACAATTTTATATCATAAACATTCAATTTATAATTTTGTGTATAATTCAACTTTATAGCTAAATTGGTATAACTTTAAAGTCATATCGATCTTCCTGATATTTCATGTCACATTACTTTAGAAAAAATAACTTTCTTTATTAAAATCATAAAAATACATATAAATTGTATAATTATTATATTGAATATACTTGTATCCGACATGATGACTTTCATCCGAATGTTTTTGGCTTTTTTATTTCTTTTCTAATTTTGAAATCATGACAGTTCATCATAATAAATTAAAATTAAGTGTAATTAAAATAAAATTAAAAAGACTAAGTAGAGCATGATATCATATTGATTTATCATGATTTTACTTGTCACTATTTTTAAATGTATTTATTTTTGTCTCCTTGAGTGTTTCTAAGAGACAATTAGGTCGACTATTAGCATAATGCTACACTAAATCGATATGTCATGACTTTTTCTTTTTTCTTTTAACATCTCTTCTAGAAGCTTGCCTTTTGCTCTCTTCATATTAAGCAAACTTAAAAAGTTAAAAGTAGAAGATATTCATCTTCCAAACAATTCAATCTTATCATTAATATCATAATATCATATATGCCATGGATTATATGCCCACTAATTCAACATAATAAGCTAAATTGAATAAGTAAAATATATGAAGTCATACTAATATTTTATCTAATTTTAAAAATATTTTTAAACTTCACATAAATTATTATTATATAATCAAATTATTAATAGTTAAAAAATGTTCATCAACTTGACTATGCACCTCTACATGAATGAAATATATCTTTAGATTTTCGCCAAAGTATCGCTATTTTTAATTAAAATTTGAATGATTTTTTGAGAATTTAATACCACTTGTTATGTGCAAATTAGGGTATAGATAAGTTTAATTAATTAGATAAAGCCTTAGATCAAAGTATTAAGAATCAAAAGCAAGGAAAGCAGCATTGATGGAATAGGGATCGCACCTTCAACAAAGAAATAAGGTGACCAAATATAAGTTTTTGGAATTCCAAAAGTAAATTCTATATAAAAAGCCTTTCAATTCGAAAAGACTTGCCAAAAATCGCTGATTGAGTTATTCCAACCAAAATAGGCATGGAACCTTTGGGCATTACTCAAATTGAGCTAAGACTACATAGTAAATTACAAGCATTATCATTGCACGGTGCACACTTTTTATATATTCGTTTCCTCCGATAAAAAAATATCTATGTTATAAAAACGAGATTAATATTTTTAAGCCTGTCAATAATTTAATAACAAAACTACTAGATGTGCCAAAGTTCATAAAATATTTTCAGTAGTACACTTTCGAATTTTTGCTTGGTGATATTTTCTTTTGTTGACCACTTCTATTGCTAACGTAAGGTTGGGTATATCGATTCAAATTTATTTGCAAATCCCCAAAATACTATGCAACAAATTTTAAAGATAGATTGAACTTTCAACATCTCAACAAAATACAGCGACTACTCGAAAACTAAAATCAACCAGTTCTTCTGTTACCTCATTTTCACGTCTCCTCGATTCATTCCCAATTTATCACGATACCAACAACCACTTGACCACCTGGTGGGCCCAACCTTTTCTATATCTTATCTTTTACTTTAAGAAATTCAAATAACATAGCACCCCCACACTTCCCATCAATTTACGACCATATGCCACTCATGGAAATTATGTAAAACCGCGTTTGCTTTTACAGAGAAAAATGATAATTGGATGCTCTCTTTGAAGGTGTGATCAAATGGTTCCATTTTGCTCAATAACCAAACAAGGACTAAACGAAGATAAAAGAAACTGTAAAGCCACAATCTTTCTGTAGAACACTGGAAAAAAAAAAATTAAAAAGGATTTAATTCTTCAAAATAACAATTCAGAGAAGGGGATGAATTTTTCACACAACAAATTCATGACTTCGAATTATATAAATATATGATAAAAATATATTTTTTTTCGAATTACTCTTCTAGTTTTGATATTATTTTGTTTTTTGCGTTCGTTGTGCGTCTCTCCCCCTCTGAGACGACGAAAAGCATAATAACAGCAGCAGCAGTTATGGAGATCGGAATTCGATCTCTCTCTATTTTTTTTCATCATGAAATTTGATTATAAAGGTAAAAAGGACGTGGTTTCGTGTTATCCTTTCAAACTTTAATGATTTTTGCTGCTTTCACGACTGGATTCTCCCTCGCGATCGCTTCTCGGCCGGCGGTTTTGTAGTCGTAGCTACAATCATGACGATCGGAGTATCGATGTTCACCGCAAAACAACTCGCCGCACCGGCATCGGAATCCGGTCAATCCTACCTTCCTTCGACAACCGGAGCAACGATTCACCTCTCTCTTAGCCGGCGGTAAGCTTGCCTTCAGTTGATCCTCCTCCTTTACCATCATCGTATCTCCAACTTTCTTCAGATCTTGACTCATCCTGTCCAGATCAGACTTCCTGTCCGGCGACGACCTCAACGAGCTGAATCTCGCCGATTTTTCAGATCTGACCAATTTTTCAGCGAAATTGTGAGGAATCGTCACCGACGTCCCCGTCGGCGAGCTGGATGAAGTTGAGGTAGCCGCGGTGGTGGCGTTGAAGCACTTTTGACACATATTGTTTGTGGCTGGATTTCCTGTAACTCCACAATTGTTGATGCAAAGCGTTATCGTTTCAGGTACGGCCTTGAACTCCGTCTCTTCTTTCTCCGTTCTCTGAGCCATTTTTCTTTTTGTGTGTGTAAAATTTTAAAATTATGACAAAATTCGGTTGCCTGCTTCAATCTAGAAAGAGAAAATACGAAATTTGTAGAGGGGATGGGGAGAGTAGTTTGTGGTTTGGTTTGGATGAAGAAATGGGAAAGAGGGGAAGGGGAAATGGAGGTTTTAAGGAGGAGAGAGGTCGGTAATGGCGATGGAATAATGGCCTCATTGGATACGCGTATCAGGCAAATTGTGGGGTGAGGGTGATGTATTGACGATAATACCCCTATAAATTTTGGGGTAATTATGGAACAATTTAATGGGTGAGGGGGTGTGCTTCTTTCTAGATTAGGTCTGACGTGTTATTTACTTAATCGTCACTTTTGAGGATATCTTTTTTAAAAAAATAAAAAAAAAGAGCTACAGTATTTCATTTGTGTTTCGGTGACCTCTTTTTTAAAAAATAGGGGATATATGTTATACAGGCTGGATAAGGTATGGAAAATGGCTCTTTTTATTAAGAGGACAGCTTATAGATGTTCATGTTTTTACGATTTCCATGCTTGAACTCCTTGCTGCCCATCCCTTCCAACTCTCACAAATTAAATACGTCCAAATATGTAACGTGTTAAATGGCATAAATGTTATATAAAGTTGAATAATAGATATATTGTTATGAATTTTTTTTTTGAAATCAAACTATAAGAACTTTGATCAATATTTTACAATATTTTTTCATCATATTGATGTGTAAAAAAGTTACTATTTATAGTACTTTTTATACAGTTTTTGAATATCTAAATTTTTTGAAAAAAAATATCAAATTAATATAATTTAATTTAACTTTAAAAATTAATTAAATTAACTTTTGAAAAGCGTAATATAACAAATAAAAATGACCGGAGTAGAACGTTATATAGAGGGTATGTGCCTATTTGCATACCCTAATATTGGAGGACATCTTATGCCATTAAAAGTTTCTTTTTATACTTGTCTCAACTATTGAGACATGACTATTTAACTAGGGCATAAAAAAATTAAAAATAAAATGATCTAAAATAAATTTAAAATAGTTATATGACTACTAATGGTGAATTTATTGTTAGAATCTTTAATTGGTTTTGGTTGAAAAAAAATTAATAGTTGAGTAACGAATAAGTTTAGTAGATCATTTTTTGGAAGACTTTTCTTTATAATTCGCACTTAAAAGAATAATTAGATCCTTATTTCCCAGAAAGAGCATGAGCTAATTGTTAATCATTCATTCTAGATCGTTTTTAGAGTCTTTTAAGAATTACAATAACGGGTTGATTGTATTTATTGCTATATATATTCATTAATATATTTAATATAGTTGGTTTTCATAAACAGATTGGATATAAGAGTTTTTAATACAATTGTATTCATTGGTACAGATTAGTTGTTTCTTTTCTATTTGTTATATGATTAACGGTTAGATATAAAAATCAATCATATCTCTCGTGCCTCTCGTCTCTCACCTTTCCTCTTTCTAGTTCGCCTCTCTCCTCCCTTCTCTCTCTCAAATCTCATCCATCCCTCTAGTAGCTAATTTTTATATTATTCAATTGTACTTGTGATACAATTATCAATCAAATATAAAAATCAATTGTATCTCTCTCATTTGTATCCTTCTCCAAGTATGTAGTTACGAATGGTAATAAATAAAATATTAACTAAAGAGCCTGATTATATCTCTAATGTTAGCTGTTTTTGAATTTTCTCTTAATTATAAGATGTTATTTGACTAAATTATCGTCTTTAAAGGGGTTATTTCTTTTAACATGTGTCACGACCCAAATTCGAGCCGCGACTGGCACCCACACTTACCCTCCTATGTGAGCGAACCAACCAATCTAACCTTAACATTTCAATATAATATCAACAGAAAGTAATGCGGAAGACTTAAACTCATTAAATAAAGACCAATTCATTAACTTCTAAAATTCAACATCTATTATTCCCCAAAATCTGAAAGTCATCATCACAAGATCATCTATGATCGAATTACTAAACTAAGAGTATTCTAAAAGCTAAAACAAATAAAAGCTAGTCCATGTCGGGACTTCAAGGCATCAAGACATGAGGAAGAAGATCCAGTCCAAGCTAGAAGCATTAGCTCACCCTGAAGATCCGGTGTGACGAAGACTAGCTAGAATTACTGTTGAGTTGAAGACGATGGCACGTTTGCTGCACTCCACAAATAACAAAGAAGAAAACAATAAAAGTAGGGGTCAATACAAAACACGGGTACTGAGTAGATATCATCGGCCAACTCAAAATAGAAAACAATATATATACGAAGTAATATCATAAAATCAACTATGATACTCAACATGTAGCAACAGCAAGTACTATATCATTAGCAATTACCATCAAGTTCACACATGAGGACTCAAGCCTCAATACCATACTCGTTTGGGAATTATGTTCTTTAGATTGAGTATATTAACATCTTTCAAGATTCATTATCTTTATTTCTCTTGTGTCGGTACGTGACACTCCGCTCTCTCATATTCATTAATCCTCTTGTGTCGGTACGTGACACTCCCATCCCCTAAATCTACGTGTCGGTTCGTGACACCCGATCCCCTAATTCTACGTGTCGGTTCGTGACACCCGATCCCCTAAATCTACGTGTCAGTTCGTGACACCCGATCTCCTAAGTCTACGTGTCGATTCGTGACACCCGATCCCCTAAATCTACGTATCGGTTCGTGACACCCGATCCCCTAAATCTACGTGTCGGTTCGTGACACCCGATCCCCTAAATCTACGTGTCGGTTCGTGACACCCAATCCCCTAATCTCATTCTATCAACTCATCAAGCCTTCTCCCTTACCAAGGCATCATCAATCTCATTACTTTAGTTCATCAAGCTTTCTCCCTTACCAAGGCATCATCATTAAAAAGAGATTAGGTTTTTATCAAGATTCGGGATTCAATAATCTCATCATGCTTAATATAATCACAATTATATAATCACGTTCATGCATGCATATAATTAAGCATATAGAAGGGTTTACAACACTACCCAATACATATCATTCGCTATTAAGAGTTTACTACGAATAGCATAAAAAACCATAACCTACCTCCACCGAAGATTCGTGATCAAGCAAGCAAATTTTCCCAAAGCTTTGTGTTTTTCCCCTTCTCGATCGTCTCTCTCTCTATCGATTCCCTTCTCTCTCTTTCTGTTCTTTTCTTTTTCTTATTCCAACCCTCTTTCTTTTACCCTAATTAGTATCTAATTAAGAATAAAAGGTGGCAATAATGACCCACTAATTAACTTAAGGTTACCTCTTTTAACCCCCAAGTAATTAGACTTATTAACATTAACTCTCTAACTTTATAATTAAAGTAGGAATAGTCCAAAACGTCCCTTAAAACGTGTCCATGACGATCCGTCGTGGGTTCCGTCGTCTCAGCCTGTTTTTCCAGAAATAAAATCTGCTGCTCAAAACGACTAAACAGGTCGTTACAACATGTCATATGGCCGTGCTAAATAATTCAGCACGCATGAACACTTAAAGAATGTATTAAAAGAATTTGATCTATACACAACGTTTTACAATACTATATCCAAGTTCTCGTGTGAGAATGTCTTTTTTTAAGGGCGAGTTGCTAAATAATATTTATTTAGATGTATAAAATAAATCCAATAATACATAGAAAAGGTTGAGTAATTCTTTCGTCACATGAATAGTGTAGTGTGATTTTGTGATACATAAGCAATGTTGAGCGACTGTTTTATTATAATTTTTTTTTTTTAAAAAAAAGTAGGTTAATCATTTCTTTAGTAATTAAGTATACTGTAAAATATAAGGAATCACCTCTAAAACTAATTTTATATTTTTAGGTTAATCATTTCTTTAGTAATTAAGTATACTGTAAAATACAAGGAATCACCTCTAAAACTAATTTTATATTTTCACAAACATTTTTTAAGCAATCCCTCTTGTGTCTTTCTTTATTCCCTTAGTGATCTAGTATTAAAAGGCTTATCCAAACTTGCAAGATAAGTAAAAAATTTATAAGCAAATTATCAAATGATGAAACTTAAGTAAATATCTATGTGATACTATAAATCATATACAGACAAGTAATGAAGATTAGGTCAAAGAATCAACCTCTAAGCAAATATCAAAACACAAATTAAAAAATAGTAACGTTAAAGGGCCAAGTTGATTGAGTGGCCAATTTTTCTAATAAAAATTTAAACGTTTTACTTTTATTTCTTACATTGCAAATGGCTGTCTCTCTAGACTTACCAATGAGATTAATTTGTTCACTTTGGGCACGTGAAATGGTAACTTACTAAATAAAAAAAGGTCCAATTTCCACAGGAAATTGCAATACAACTTGGTTTCCTCCTTGTTTCCCCACCACTTGACTTTGATTTGCCTAAAGACGGCAAATTTATTTATTGAAAAGAAAAAATTAGTATTATCTTTTGGGCCTAGTGGTCATACATGCAAGTAGAGGTATATTTGTAATTTCCACACACCTTGTACCCCACAAGTTGAGCGGCTTTGAGTTGATAAAGGAGAAAGGAAAGCAGAAAAGGCAAAATGTCTCAGCTCCAGCTTTACAGCCGCCCACTCTGACCATCTTCCTTTTTTTTTTCCCCTTGGGTTGTCCTTCTTGTGAGAAGAGAAAAAAATATTCTGATATTTGTACTATTAAAAAATGTGTTAATTTACAACTAATTAAAAATTATTGAAGTACAAAGTTGAGGTTATCTTGCGTTTTGTATGATAAAAAAATTACTAATTGCCTTTATATGTAACTTTATGAGTGACAAATAGATTCATGAATTTTGTGTATTAAGAAATTGTAGGGGAATAGATTTTAATCAAAAGATGTTTTACGCCTTGGTGCTATTTTTCTTAATTTAATAGTGAGATAGGATACAATAGATTCTTAATACTTTTTATGATTTGAATTAGTTTTTTATTACGAGGGTGCTAGATAGCGTAAATGATCATTAAATAATATTTTGAATATTTGTTGGGATAGTGGTTTGAAATTAATATGTGGAAAAGTGAGTGAAGTCGCTTGTTTCATTTGTGAAGGCAATTTCCCTGAGAAAGACAATAAAAGTACCAAATCATATAAATATATTCTTTACGATAAGGAAACTTACTATTGCTATCTTTTCGAGTGTGCATAAGATAAAATCTCATTTCTATGCAATAGCTCGTAAATTACATAGGAGAGGTAACTCACATTAGGCAAGTCTGATGCGACAAGCTCAATCTAGAAGGCAAAAACCCCTTGCTTTCGCTGGCAAAGGATTTCGAACTTGAGACCTCCAACGTGGAAGTTTCAAGCTCAAACTACTGGACCACCCCGAAGGGTTACCTAATCATATAAATATTTCTACAATTTTTTTAATTTTTCATAATTTGAAATAATTACGTATATTAATTAATAAATTTATATGTAATTAACGCAATATACGCTATAAATATACTCAAAATTGTTAATACATTTGAAAGAAGACAAGCGACATGAAGAAAAGCAAGTGAAAACTCAAATGCATATAAAAACACATTAGAGATACATTCTACATACACATAAAAGGAGAAATTTAAATAAATATATTAATATTTTATATTTAAAATAAGTTATACTTAATTTTTGTCCTTAAGTCAAAAATAATCTATCTAGATGTACTAAACTTATGTATGTGGTGATCCAAACTGGCATGATAAGTAATTTTAGAAACTCAGGAAAAGTCACGTAATTAAACTCTAACCTAATGAATTTGTGATGTTTAATATAATTGGACACCTAAAACACCACAAAATGACTTCCTTTTTTTAGTGGAATAATATTATTGAAAAATAAGCAATATGATGTGGATGTAATATTTGATGACATCCACGTGGCACCTTGAAGCAGTGGACGTGTATTCTTTGTATGTAGGCGTAGTCTAATTTTCCTCTTAACCTCCCCGCGTCACGTAATGCGCTTCCTTAAAAGATTCTACGGCCACATTATGGAACCCACCAATCATATAATACCATTTGAAAAGAATTAAGAAAATGTCCTTCTCTTTTGTTTGGTTTATATATAAAAGGGGATGAACAGAAAGAAAATGGCAAAAGGTATACTTAGTTTTGGGATCATAAACAATACAATTAGATAGAAATTAAAGAGACTTCGTTTTTAAAAAAAAAAAATTCTTGATGTCAATTCCTATCCCTCCCAAGCTGCCTAGCAATAGTAAGGCAAGTAGAAAAATTGTGTTACGCACTTTGCTTAGAAATGAGGAGAGAAATGAAGGCAAATCGAAGCATTTTCTACTTTTCTTTTGTAACGAGTGAGAATTATTTTTTAAAATTGACTTTCATTTTTATTTTTATTTGTTATTTATAATATATATAAAAAATATAATTTTTTATTTCATGTTTTAACCTTAAGACTTATTAATATTTCATACTAAACACCGATTAATATAATAATATTTAGAATATTAATCATTATATAAATGTAAAGTAAATAAATAAACATAAACGGAGGTAGTGCTTTTATACATACTGAGCCCACAAAATTGTTCTCCGTTATTTAGTACTCCCCATTTTCTACAATTTCCGTTTCTTCCACTTATTTTCTGACACGAACTTGCTTTCTCATTTATATTTTTTTCTCCTTTTCTTTTTTCCTAATATATCTTCCTAAATTACATTGACATAGGAAAAGGTATAACAGCTCAAATTGCATGTTTAAATGTCTAGGTTTATTTTCACCCTACTTGTCAGCAGAGACTTTTCTGATTTTGTAATGTTTGAATCATTAAAAATGTTCTAAATTTTTTGTCAGCGAAAATAAGAAATTTGATTTTTGAATTGAACTTGTCGCACTAAGTTTATCTAGTGTGAGTTATCTTTTTTATGTGATTTACGAGTTATTGCATAGGAGCAAAATTTTTATCCTATGTATATCCAAAAATAACAATGATAAAATTCTCTTGTCATAAAAAAAAAATTAATAAAAATCCGTAAAAAGACGTCTGAAGAAAAATATAATGCGACGGTGTGAACGTAGAAGAAATTGTTTTGTTTTAATTCCTTCTAATAAGTTTGAAAATATTTCCTAAAAATACAATTGCTTCACTTTAACTTTTTTATTTTTGAATCCATGACTTTTTTTAAAAAATAATTGCTCAATATATTCTTGAATCCATGACTTTTAAAATTGGGAAAAAGGGTGAATTTTATTGATTGATAATATCATATTGTTAAATTAAAGTTATTTGCTTTCCTGTCATTACTAATTTTACCATCCATTTATATGCTCAATTTGATGAAAATCTAAGTTGACCAAAATTATCGAATTTCACTTAAATTATTGAATTTCATCTTTTTGATCCGAATTTAAATTTAACCAGCTAAACAAAACTCAAGGAAATCAAATCCCAAAATCAATTTCTTCTCTCATCTTCTTACTCCCTGAATTAGAAAAATATTTTCATCTCTTAACTCTATACAAACTTCATACATTTGCAACAACATATAATTTCATTAGCTTGCCAATTCAACTTTTTTTTACTTTAAAGAGATTTTCATTAGAATCTGCCCTCCCAAAATAACAAAGCAAATTCACAAGATCAAAATTGTATCAATCTGTTTTTTCAAGCTTAGTCGTCTCTTTGAAAAACTTTTTTATGCAAAAAGAGCAATCAATATTCATAAATACAAAAATCAAATCCATTAACTAATATCTTTTATCAAGCATCCAGAACGATAGCCACAAAAACGCCAAGCAGCCAACAAAAGCATAGACCCAATGCTGAATTGATCCCAAAACTAATCGCTGTTGCAAATCTCGCTTACCACCGACAATCGAAAAGTGTAAAAAAGAGGAGTATGCGACAGCAGAGTTCAGTTTTTTACCTCAATAAAAGATCATGTGCATCACTTTTGCTTGCCAATATGAGTTCTTGCCCTTTGGGTTCTTAAAGGAGATGAATTTTGGGAGAAGATGATGGGTGTTTTGTTGATTTGTTGGGCAAGTTTTTGAGTTTTTGGTTCAGAAACAGGAGTTGAAGAAGGTTCGGGTTAAGTTAGTTGGATCGATTTGGGTCAAAATAGATAATTAGATAACTTTATTAAAATTGAATAAATTTTGGCGAATTTGGGGCTTTTCGTCCATAAAGGATATAAATAGTGAAATTAAAAACAACAGGTTAAAAATAATTATTTAATGATAAGAGATGATTAACTAAGATTCACTTCTCTTTAAAATAAATAAATTAAGTGGAATAATAGAAATCTTGTAACTCGGTATAAGATCGAGAATTGATTGATACTCAAAGTAAAAACTAACATCAAAGTAAAAACTGATGTTTAATGTTGTGATTATAGTACTAAAATTCTAGACGGGATATGTAATCTCAAATCCTCATATATACCTTTGTTCAATGTAGAGTCATAATTTATCGTGTATTGATATATCGTAATTTACTCAAAAAGATTTTTTAATTATAAAATTATGAAGATCGAACATTAAGAGAGAGCATCAAATAAAATTATATTTTATATCAATAAATTCATGGCATTCATGTTAAGTTATCAAACGAATCATGTTAAGAAAGTCAAAATTTCTACATGTGCATTAGCCAACAGGATAATGAAAAACTCAAGTTTGCATGAATCGCATAAACCATCAAAGTCTTATGAGCGAGGATTTTATTTTTACTTTTAACTTTTATTTTTGTGTATTTATATCATCATAAAATAGTTGGCTGAATCTCATTTGATTTATTTCATTTTTTCTTGATCTATAAGCCTTTTAAAAACAATAAAAATATCTAAAAAGTAATTAAAATTATGGACGATTATAGATGAATAATGTGTTCAAACTCTTATGTTTTCTTTTTAATACCACAAAAATTAACTCAGCCGTATTAATTTTAAATAGAACCAAGATAATATTACGTACTTTGAAAAAATTAAAATTGAAAAATTAGATTTTAATTTTTAATTATATAAAATAAAATAACTAAAAATTAGATATGATATAAATTTTACAAACCTACCATCGAAAGTATCGTTATACCCATAATAACTATAGTAAACGAACAAGTTCATGAAAGAATGTGTTTTTCCCTTGGCTATTAGTTTGTTACGTGGCAAGTTGTGAACTAGGATGTATAGTATGTCTTTTTGCTAGTTCACATGTGATTATTTCTCAAAGTGGTCCCTTACTGCAACTATTTTGTGGGACCAGCCAAGGTATTGGCCCCACATTTTCTTTTATAAATTTTGCCTAGAAGACTGGGTCCCACTTTAGTCTTTATGTTCCTTTTTTTTTTTCTACTTTTTGGAAATACTATTCAAATTGAGGCATAAAAAAAGTTCTAGAAATAACGCAATCATTTGATACTTGAATTTTTTTTTATCCAATAGACATAAAGTGCTTCAAGAATGCATTTATTCCAAATAAGATACATAATAAATTAAATAATGCATATTCCTCCTGCACAAATTCACCTTCTTTTTTTTAATTAAAATTTTTATCTGTTGAATAGGTTATAGTAAAATTTTGAGATTCTTATTGTCGTTTTGATAAAATTAGCTTTTGAGATGTCTAATGCTTTATTGGTGTTAATGTTGAATTACATAGTAGTTCACTAATAATAAAGAAATAATATAAGCGCAATTACTTTTGCAATGCTTGATTAGCCTTTATCATTGCTAATACCCACATAAATTATATGTAAAGATATACGTATTATTTAGACATGATAAAATAAAAATGTGTATATTAGCGAATATATGAAACATAAGTATAATGTTTATTCACTCACTTTTATAGCTCTCGGTCCCTTTTTTTGTCAAAATTAACACCTATTATTATTATTATTCATAAAAGCAAAGAGTGAAGATCCAATTGGCAAATAATAATCGTCATCAAACCAAGTTCCCCTGTTCCTTACATACCCCCATAAGGCATATACAGTTTAGTTTACATGTTGTTCATGTGAAAATTATGATGTAAGCATTGTTTATACAGGGAATAATAATAAAAATATATTATTATAGTATGACATAATATAATACATGAATTGTTATATAATACTAGCAGTAGTATATATCCTTTACAGTCTTTTTTTTTGCTAATATGTAACAATATATTCAGAATCTCACAAAGTGGATTCTGAATATGCATTGATATATATATATATATATACACACACGTGTTCTAGTTAAGCGAGAATCATTATAATAAGTGAATATTAATTATGTTAGAGATTATATATCCCAGTAACCCGTTGAACCAATTATCATATACTCGTATATAGTGAATGTAGAAAATTAAATAGATGCACGAATTGTGTCTCATATACAAAAACTAAGATACATTTCTAATAATATTTAATTATAATAAATTTACATGATTTGATGAATATGTACACGAATTTTTTTTTTGTTTTAAATACGTAAGTAAATGTATTTATATATAATCTAAACAAATATTATATGAGAGGGAGAGAGGATAGGTGAGTGTGGAGTGGTGAAGATGGCAATGGGCTGGCTATGCAAGATGAAAATGAGGTACATTGTAAAATGGATGAGATAAACTCACGAAATTCATTTTCCCTACTTTAACTATATAAAAAAATTATTATCTTTAACGAACTCTTTTTTCAGAAAGACTATTGATCAATCGAACAAAAAAAAATTAAAGAACGTGCACACCCTAAATTCGAGGAGTTTTCCGGCACCTAAGAGAACAAGAAGCCACAAATCAAGGAGAAGGCTGAGAGGAGCAAACACAATTGTTGTGAAACAGCTGGCTGACCAGCATTTGGGGCTGTTGTAATCATTTACATCATTTTCACAGAAAGACCCAAATCCTTCAAAGAGTGAAATATTTTAGCATGCTTCATGTTCATCTTTAAGAATGAGACATAAATCCAATCCTTCATTTTTATATCAAAAGGACTTCACAAATTTATGTACCTTCTGTAATAAAAACACTAAAATTGAGATAAATGGTAAAAAGTGGTGCTAGAGTAACAAGAATAGCCATAGATTGCATTAACTCAAGTGCAATGCAAATTATGGAAAAGATAGGTGCATTTGCGTTGGCATGTGCAGATTTCACATGCAATACCACGAGAGACTTCATACTACTGTCTTGACTGTAGCCAACCTCATGATATGTTTAGCAATCAAAAACACATCAAAGGAGAAGACAAAGGGGAACATGTAATCAGTGTCTCCTCGACACTGTCAAAACATGTGAACGATAACAGGTAACCGCCTTGTATGTATATATTCAGCAAGAATTTAATTTCTATAAACCATCAGCTCGGCTAAAAGAAAACTATATAAACCATCAGCTTGCCTCGCCTAAAAGAAAACTATATGTATACGGAACTCCATAATAAGTGGAATCAATTGCCTGAAAAAAATGCAGGTTACTCACAACAACAAATTAATACGTAGCTTAAAAGCTCTTTCACACTAATAAAATACGAGATAGCGCGCACACACACTCGCAAAATAAACAAGCTCAACTGAAAGGGGGTTGAAGAAAAGGATTTGATAGTAGGAAACACTGCTTTTATACTAGAGAACACCAACTTTTATGTTTACTAAAATTGGAATTACTACATCAAAAGATAAACCAAAAGAATGTCCATCACAAGCACAAAACAAGCACTAAAGATGGAAACCACAACATTTCTTACTTGATACCAACATTACGACCCCTCAAGTTGTAAAGATGCCTTATGATTCTCTCTCTCGACCCCCTCGAGATCCTAGGCACCAAACAGTAGAAGTCACCAGATGGGTATGGAAGACGTCTTCAATAATACTGCAGCTCATAAACTCAGGATGTTCCTTCATATTTTGTCAAGCTTTTCAGCCTTAACAACTGGGTTGGCTTTCGCAATAGCATCTTGACCAGCCTTGCGATAATCATATGGACACTCATGTTTGTCTGAGTAGCGATGAGCTGAGCAGAAAAGATTCCCACATCGGCAGTTGAAGCCGGTCAAACCAACTCGTCTCCTACAGGTGCTGCACCTGTTTGGCCCCTCCTTAGCCTTCTCAACTTGTTCACTCTCTACTGGTACCGCGACTTGTGTGGGTATAACCAGGGACTCTGCAGGACCTTCCTGCACGGTGACAGCAACATCAACAGCTTTCACACTAGCATTTGAACTTCCATTTACAAAGCTTTCAATAGATGAAGCAGCAAAGTTTGCTTGTTCTTGCTTGAATATCATATCCTTGTAGCACTTTGAGCACATGTTCATTGTTGCTGCAGTACCAAAAAACCCACAATTGTTAACACAAAGGACAGGAGCTTGAGGAGCTTGGCAGCCTGTATCATTTTGTTCCATATTGAATTTTCCTGCAACAAAAGGACGACGTTCATATACCACTCTAGCAACAGCCAGATGTGTTGAATTCCAAATCATGTTACCCCATTATTGATCAGTATGTGCTCTTATAGAGAAAAAGCTGACTACATTTAGCCAATATTCATCAAATGGCCATTAGCACATATTGACCGAGCCAGAGGATCAGAATTGCCTAGTATACCATGTTATATTGAAAGAGCAAACTCAATGAAATTGCAACAAATAACTATGGTAATTCATCAGCTGATACACAATTAGACTGCGTTCACAGAACAACAGTGAGATCACCCAGGTGGAGTCTGCGGAGGGTAGAGTGTATGCAGACCTTCCCCCTACCTAGTAGAGGACTGCATTCACAAAACGTATAAACTAAATCGCTTAAATCAGTTTCTAGCATGGGGGAAAAGGCAAGCTGCAAAAAAACACATTGGGAAAATGGGACTCAAATAAACCAAGGGTAAGTGTGTCATTCCATATGGGTGCATCCTAGTAATTTGAGAAACAGCAAATACCTACCTGCCAGTTAATATCGTAACCAAAATACCTACTAACTTCATTAACCATGGATTGCCGCTGCATTTTGACTACCAGTTGAATCATGCCTTCAAAAACCAACACCAAGAAAAACACAACTATAGCCCCACCTTGTGTTGTGCCACCCCACAAATACAACAATAAAATCACCACTGGCCCACAGTCTAGAAGAGTTTGACATGAATGTACCCATTAAAGCAAATAAGGAAGGAACACAAGCTACGACGGTTGGCATAGGGACACTGTTCCATTCCGTTGAAAGCCTGCAATAGGGACCCTGTCTACCAAGGATAACGCCCATCCTTCCTTGCCACCTCTTCGTTAGTTCCGACATAAAAAATTTACATCGCAGGGCATTTTCAAATTCAGGGTTGGACCACCTTGAAAGAATTCACTACCTTTGGTATAGAATTCTAGTATTCTACCACAACTAAATCTACCTGAACAGAAGACCAACTTTTGGAAGCCACAAGCATAGAACAACAAAGAGGTCCAAGATAAAATCTTCAGACAGGTCAAACAGACAAATGAGCAAGCTTAATACTTGTATGGTCATGTAAAAAATGCATGGTCAGATCACAGAAGGGTGAAGGGAACATTGCAGATTAATAGGAAGCATCAAAAGGAACTTCGGACTGACTAAGTAGAACGATAAAGAAAAATAATGACTGACAGCTGAGGCAGTGTCACCCTGGGAAATGCTGAAATCAGAGAGATGTGTTTAGAAGATGGTGAATTGAAAGCAATCAAACTAAGCTCCGCTACAGAGCAACAACTTACCTCCACATGTTCCTCTAACCTCAGCGACAAATAAGCTTTAGCCAAAAAATAAGATGCAACATATTTCCATTAACAACACCCAAGAAAACAGGGATTCCAAAAGAAGTCAAAAGCAAGACAGAATATATGCATTGCAAGTTTAGTCATCATTTGATGAATGAGGAACAAGTGGGAGTTAGACAACTCAAAGATATGTGATGTGAAAATATGGAGGAACTATATCGGAATGTTATGGAATACGAAGAATATCAAATAAACTAAAAGTCTTAAGTGTAAAAAACTGTAAAACCAACAACGATAGATGGAGGGAATGTTTGGCCCCGGAGACCCATGTAAGAATAGATCTTAAGTTATCCTAATATATGAGGGAACATCAGAAATTATCAGATCCCGCATGCGGTTAGGATAACATGAAAAAATAACCTCCAAAGATGGTTTGATCATCCTATGCAGCCTTCAATATGTACATACTCCAATGCAAAAAAATATGGCTATAGGTCATTGGAGGTGCAAAGAAGGACCACACATACATAAAAACACACAGGAGAATTATCTAAAAAGCCCTACAGTTTCACCGAAAAAGCACAAACTTATACTCTTCTTATTCTGTATAAAATTGATTGATTGTGTTGAGGTAAAGATCAAACTGCGTCTAATTTAGCAAATCTATAATTCTACTTGTAGACAAATCATTTAGTAACCAAAAAAAGTATCTCGCACAGATCAGAATACATACAATAGAACCACTTGTGGATTGAGGCATACTAGACTGACACCATTGCACCAAGTCATTACCCTTGCTCCACAATCTCTCTTGTAAATGGAAAACTTAAATACTATTGAAAGGGCTCTCATCCCTTCAAAAAAATCCATTTGAAAGATTATAAAGCTCAGCCAATAAATTAAATCCAATATACATGCTATGGATTAATAGTCAGTTTTTTTTAAGTTATAAAGCAAGGTATTTCATTCACAAAAGGGCATCAAGAAGATGCATAGTTACAACTTACAATGAAAGAAAAATTGAGAAAACAAACTGAGACAAACAGTTAATCAATCTAAGACAAGGGAACCACTAAACTCCATAAATTATTTGGTGCTAGATATATCAGCCACTCTAAGTATGATTGGCATCTGGTTTTGATAGTCAGTTTTATACAGTCTGTCAATGAATGTCCTTGATAATAGCTATATAAAAAAGAAGAAAAAATACATGCTTTAGTATCATGAATACCAGAGCTAGAGGTCTGATCTTACAAAACCAATTACGCATAGCAAAGGAACACATATGTTTAGCTATTTGGCTGGTTCTGATTGAAGTATAAGTTAAACCTGACCAATATAAACAACCAGGACAAAAAAAGGTGCACCATGAAAAATCAGAAACCAAAAACAACTCAAATCAAAAAAAAAAAAAAACACTCAAAATTAACTACCCACAACCAAAATTCACTTTGAAACAAAATAAAAAGAAATACCAAACTCACCTGTTTGCTGAAGACACAACAAAAATCCGATCTTTATAAAATTTTCACCTCCTATCCCTTCAAAAAAGAACAAACAAACATATTAAATCATACAGAACACTACACCACTTCAAAAAATTCAAAAAAAAAAAACAAACAGATCAAACCCATAAAAACCCCAAAAGGGTTTTCAAATTTTGCATCTTTAAACAAACCCAGCGAGAGAGAAAAAAAAATCGATAGAAAAAAAACTAACCCTAGAAGCGAACAGGAGAAAGTCTAGGAGGAGCCGAAGAAGAAACTGGAGAAAAGAAAAAGTAATTTATTAATGTTATATAGAGAGTATAAAGCAGAATTTGTACTTTGGGAGATTTCTACTAAGTCTCTCTAATAGCCTAATACGTTTCGAATTCTGATTGGATATCGTAAAGATATAGGTAGCTAATAGCCAATAAAAATAGGGAGTAGATGAAAATACGGTGTGGGCGAGTACAGGAGATTGTTGCAGAAAGTTTTACGTGTTCACGCATGTTGGGCTTCGGTTTTGTTTAGTGGACTAATTATTTTTTTTTTAATGATTTGAAAGGAGCTAATCATGTGAAACGTGGCATGTTATGTGCTGTTGATCGGCTTTTAACCGACTAATTGTAGAAATAGGTCGAATCGACCAGAGGATTGATAAGAATGTTATAGTCGAATCGACCTATAATAATTAATATAATTATCGAGAGTTAAATTATCATCATTTTTTAATAAATTAAATTATTTTTTTTAAGAAAATTTAAATAATTTATGTTTAGAAATAATAGTTTAAACTTATGGGTGAATTTTTTTCTTAGATTAATTTCTATGAAATTGAAAGAGCATAACTCTCAAAATATTATGTTAGCAATATTTGTGATTTTACTTTGAAAAAATATATTTAAAAGAAGTTAAATAATGAACATACTATTATATTTAAGATTCATGAATATGCATGATATATTTATTATAAAGACATGAATTTTAAAATATTTTCATATTTAGTGCAAAATTCGTGTCTAACTGCCATTTTTTATTTAAAATGTTTAATCATTCATTGAATTTAAAAAAAAACACTTTTTCGTATATTATCGATGGTGTATTTTTGAGAGAGTATGACGTTGAAAATGATTCCAATAATGACAGTTTTTCGGTGAATTATATAAATTTGACAAATACGTATAATATTTGAGTTTGGAATTTAAAGGATAAAAAATGTTAATAAAAAATTTAAATAGTATATGATATATTTTTTTAACCAAAATGGTAAAATTACTCACGAAGTAGTGATTTGTCCGCCAAAAAAAAAGCAAAATTGTTGCTATAGTAATGATTTGCAAAATTTGATATTTTTTAAAGAAATCGCTGACAGCGATTTTCAAAATAATATTTTTAAAATTTTTTTAATAAATCGCTCTCTTGGCAGCGATTTAGTGTTAATATTTTTTTATTATTTATTT